GTTCCAATTCCATGGATTTTGGCTTCAAGTTACTTTTGAATCTGAATTATGTATTAAGATGTTAAGCATATTGGAAGAAATATTCCATGCTAAACTCCCTCAGTATGATTTTTCCAACTCATCCAGGTTTTTCACAGTTCACTGTCAGGAGGGAAAGATGTGCCATGTGAGGACGTGCTAATCATCCATGTGGCAGAACAGTGTAACTTTGTTCCGTGCACACATGGAACATGAGGAGCTCACAACTAGTTGGAAAAGTGAGTGGAAGATTGAGAAATACTCTGACAAACTGGGTCAATACTCCAGAATAAAAGTGCAGTGGTATTTATCATTCTCAGCTGGATATTGGGATTTCCTGCCCCAGGGAGTTCAACCCAAACAAGAGAGAACAAGAAGTTCCCTCCAGGAGCTAGGAAATTTGGCTTAGAAGGGACACAAAGGGAGTTGCTGTTGCCATGGAGTTTTCTGCCTGTGGTGAGTCGTGTTGGCCATAGTTTGTGTCTGACCCAAGGCCAACGTGCTCTGCTGTCCCTGGGCAGAGGCCATGGGCTCAGTGTGCTCAGAGGATACGGGGGTTAGGCTCTGGAGGATGCAGCCAAACCCTTTGCTGCCCATGGGCTGTGAGGAGACTTGGATAGGTTCTGTCGCCCTTCAACTTCAGGCCATTCCCCATTGTCTGTCCCTCCACGCCCAGTGCATTCACTTCTTTTTCCGCTCTTTTTTCTTTAGCAGAAGTTATCCTGAAGTTCTGTAGACATCACTTACCCCAAGCTTTATCTCCCTTCCCATTGTTTCCTTACAGGCCAGAGCAACCTGAAGAGCCCAGAGGACATCCAGGTCTACATTGTCAATACAAACTTCACCCTGAGGTGGAACTACACTGGGAATGATCCCAATGTGACATTCTCAGCCCAATACCAGTGGTGAGTAGAAACTTGATTCAGAGCCAGAAATGTCTGATATTTATTAGTACAGAAGAGTATATTAATCTGCTGCTTGATAATACCACGTGAAGCTTCTGGAGAGCTTTGGGCACCAGAAGGAAGAGGTCAGGATGACGAAGCCTTGAAATTAAGTTGGATGATGAAGCTTTAATTTGTCTAATAAATGCAGAACACACCTACTGCTGATGCCTAATGCCAGACTGGATCAACTGTCACACTCAGAAATGTAATTTAGAGCTGTTTATTCTCTGGTTTGTTTCATTTGTGGCCACACACAGAGAATCCCTGAGAATTTTCAGAGTAGCCTTAATTAATTTCTTAGTGTTTATTAATCTTTGCCAGACTGGGCTAATGTAATAATAATAAGGACATAATTCTGGGGTTTGACAGTTCTTTGCTGCTGTTTTCTAACCCTCTGTGTTTACACCCCCAAAGCAAACTGCTGTCAGACCTTGCAGAGTGATGGTTAACCTCAGGTAATCCAGTCAAACCAGTACATGAATAAATGAATTAACTAAAGGGTAAGATGAATTCCATGAGGAGGTGACACTGGATAGAACAGCATTAAATGCTGTGGCATTGATTACAAGAAGAGGACAAAGAAGAGATTAAGGAGCAAAGAAAACCAATCTCAAGGCTTGAACTGGGGATTGGATTTATTTTGGGGTGTTTTCTCTCTTCCAGGTTTGAGGGCAGCGAAGAGTGGAAGGAGCTGCCTGGGTGCCAGAACATCACTGGCACAGAGTGTGACTTCTCCTCAGCCATAACTGAGTACTACGATGGGCATTACGTGCGTGTCAGGGCTGAGAACGGGGAACACGTGTCTCCATGGTCCAGCAACTTCGAGATGTTTCCAAATCACATAGGTACAAACTCTGTATTTGCTGTGATTTCTCTAGTTAAATGTCTTGTCGCACATTAGGTGGAAGGAGGAGATTGTGCCCCTCTCCCTGCTCAGGTGAGACCTCACCTGCAGTGCTGCTCCAAATCTGGGCCCAGCACAGGAAGGACATGGAGGTGTTGGAGAGTCCAGAGGAGGCACCAAGGGGATGAGAGGGATGGAGCAGCTCTGCTGGGAGGAAAGGCTGAGAGAGTTGGGGTTGTTCAGCCTGAAGA